TCTGTATCCACTACTCCCATTCATTCAGCACAATGCTGTCAGGAACCCTCCAAAAAAGTGACCCAAATCAAACTGGTCATGCCTTACAGGAAGGAAAAACAATCCATGACACACATCCTAACCAGCCACACATGAAAGTGAGAATGAGACCTGACCGAGGAGCTGAAATGCAGAGAGAATTCATGGGAATAAGGATTGAGCTTTGAGGTGGACAGCCTTGTGGCAGCGTGAACTTTACTGAAGGCCCTGAGTAAAAGCAAAAGTCACATACACACACTGGTGCTGGTCAAATACCAGTTTCTTCTCTACATATGCTCAGCACCAGAATAAATCTAGAGCTTATGAAGAGAAGTTGGTCAAAGTCATTGAGGGTTTGAAGGGAATCGATCCTTGCCTCTGGAGATAAAAGAATCCCACTTTCCCTCTACTGCAGTTACAGTAACTCAAATTAACCGACTTTCTGCAACAGCTGACTGAGTGGGGATTAGCACTTTATTTAAATTAAGTATCTGTACTGTACCTTAGTGGGCAGAATGAATTGCACAGATGTCCATATCAGTACTGCAGCATCTGAGCTGCTTGGGCAGCAGAACTAATTTGAACTGTGAATCACAGGCTCATCCAAGGGCCAAACAGCCTAGAATGAATCATACAAATATCCATCTTTGAGATGTTTTCTCACTGGATGAATCAACATGCAAAGTCCATATCAAATCAAGCCAGTTTCTTCCATGTGTCTGTATTTGTTACACATGCATCACTGACTGTCAGTGTAATGCATTTGAGCTCCAACACCACCTAGGGACAGTGCTTTAGGCCAGAGTAAGTGTGTGCAAGTTAGAGAAGGTTTTCACTATGTGACCGCCATTATCAAGCACAGTACAGGCTCCTCCCTGTCATTCTTCCAACTACTTTAATAGGAATCAAAATTGGATAATCTTTGACTGTCTAAGAACACTGTTACTACAGTAATGTGATGGGCTTTTTTGGTCTACCCATTTTCCTTGAAAAACTACTCTGTTTACTTCTACATAGGTTGCTCCTTAATATTTATAATTTCTAAAGCAGGGCTTTCCAGGCTTTATGTCTTTTGACCCATTAAAAGAAAGTAATGTCTCCTTGTAAGTGCTACTTACTGATTACCTAATGGTTGGTGACCAGTCAACTGAGGATTTTTACCTCTGCCAAGGCAGAGGCAATATGTTTGTTTGTTGGGTGGTTCGTCTTGTCACAGCTTAACTCAAAAAGTAATGAATGGGTTTGGATGATTTTCTTTAATCTTCTTTTGTTGTTTTAGAGGTAGGGTATGAACCACGGAACAATCCATTAGATTTTGGTGTTGATCTGAATCATTGTTCGGGCCCTTGATTTTTTTTTTAAAGGATTCTTCACTGGTGTTGGAAAGGCTGTTGGCTGTATGTGAGAGCCCCCTTGTGGCCAAAGTGCACGTCTGTGCTATCGAGCTAAAGATGAGTGGAGCTAATAAGTGTAGCAGGAGGCATGTTGGAAAACAAACTCTAAAGTGGGCTTACATGGTGTGAGTCGTGCATCTATGAAGGACTTTAAGTACATGTTGTTATTTCAGTTTGCGTGGGACATTTATTTAGTAGCTTGTGGTTAATTTTGGTAATTATTGCTGTTGCTGCTGAATACCTGACTTTCCCTCTGGATCAATAAAATATCTATCTATCTATCTATCTATCATTTAGTAATCAATCATGTCTATTGTTTTTCTTGACTAACTTTCAAAGTAATAATGATATCAGTGTTATATCCCTAGCATTTAGAAATGCTAGGGATAGGTTCTCATGGTCAAGGAACCATACTGTCATGGGAATATTGCTTTTAGGTTTAATGGGATTATGGGGAAACTGAGCTAACCTTGGTGGAGTTTTGCACTCTTGTCCTGAAAAGATAATATTAATCTGTAATCCCCCAGTAATCAGAAGAAATCTGACAAAAATTAATATGACTTGTGTGAAGCAATATGTTTTTTCTCCTGCTTTCCTATGTCCTATTTATTAACAAATCATCTTGCCCTCTGCAGAGCCCTGGCTTCCACCATTAAAAACCACCACACAAAAAAATGTATGCTGAAAATAGTATGTGCTGGTGGAACCAAGCTATAGTAGAGAAATAAAGACAGTAACACGAACATCTGTATATTGAGGGAAATTGTTGATATTTTTCTCTTCCTAAAAAGCATTCTAGCAATACTCTAAGAATCATAAGAAGACCTCATGTTATCCTTGGGAATAACAAAAGCATGACAAAACAACAAAATGAATCAGAAACAAAATAGCTCTGTGTGACTACAGGGGACAATTCTGTGTTGTTCAACAGCCAGAACAACACCTGCACAAAGGTGTGCATGCACACACACACACTGAGGGTAGGGGCTGTAATCTCCATTCTTACTGCAGCTCATACAGTCAATTGTGCAAAATACAATTATACCCAATGACCTGGGATCACCTACAGGAAATGAAACGTATAACAAATGAGAGTAAAAATGAGGGACAAAAAAGCACGAGAGTTGCTGAAGGGGTATATTTTCAGACACAACTATTAGTGTGAAGAAAAAACAAAATTCACAAGAGAAAGAGGGACAATTTCATCTTAAAAGTTTATAGGTAGATGAAAAAAATTCTTGCAAAAGACATAAGGCCAGTGCTCGAAGTGCGTTGGTACACACCAGTACACAGTACCCGCTCTTCTACATTTTACTCTTTGGCATACTGAGACTTTTTCTTGCGTAATGATTTTCTCACAAGCTGTCAGACTCTGTCTGCCCTCTCTATGGGCTCGTTTGAGGTGGACTGTCGGAAAGCGGACGAGAGCAGATGAAGATGACGAGAGTGGGGTGGGGGTGGGGGTTGTGATATAAAGCTCCACCAAAAGAGACCTGAGCTCCCCCCAGAAACAAAGATTAAAGTTTAGGTGGTCCCAGGTGGTTCCAGTAATCACAGTGTTATTATTTCAATTCTAATCATAAAAGAAGCTAAAACGAATTGAAAGAACACACCTGTCTCTCTCTCTCATCTTTTTTCTGTCCTTTACTTCTCCTCCCAGGGCACCGAAGTCGCTGTTTAAGGTTTACTTGAGCAATTAGGGTCTTTGCATTTGGCTACCTGCAGCATTCAAAGTACTGTATGCGACTGATCCATTTTACTTTGAAGTGTACTTTGAAAGGAGGCAACCTTCATGGCCTGAAGAAACATCTAATATGATATCACACACCCCTAAAGTGCAGTGAGTCCACACCTTTCATCAGTACATGAAAAGAATGACAAGGAACAATTTTGTATTGTTTGAAGGGAGGACAAATAACATTTTATTTTTCATTTCATCTTATTTTTTTTAATATACACTCACTGGCCACTTTATTCGGTACACCTGCACAATTGTATGCAAAACAATGCAACACCTCCGCCTTAACATCTGCAGTCATGAAGCTCACAATGTTTCAGTTTTTGGTGAAATTGTCATAAATGTATAGATTCAATCATATGTTTATTATTGAGGCCATAGTTAAAGGTGGTGTTGTACTGGACTACATTATATTTAGGTGCCTCTATATTTTTATCCTCCCCAGCTACATATATGAGAGGGTCAGAATATTAGGAACACCCCAGAATACAACTATGACATTTAACTATGACCTCAATAATAAACATATACTTGAATCTATACATTTATGACAATTTCGCCAAAACTGAAACATTTTGAGCTTCATATACAAGATGTTAAAACGAAAATGTACTGAATTGCATACAATTGTACATGTGTACCTAAAAAAGTGGCCAGTGAGTGTATGTAACTACATCCAACAATGAGGTGCCTGGAGTACACATGTGCATCACTGCAGCAAGGTCTGAAATTAAAGCCAAAAAACAAACAACTATGATTTTCAGGAAACATTAGCAGCAGCAGTTGGATTAGCAAGTAATAGATTGTTAAAAGGTTGTTGTTCTTAATTGGTTATTTAAAAAGAAAGGTTTTAATAAATGAGTGCATAAATATGTGAATACACTGCACTCTGTGCAGTTGTTTCACATAGTTGATGACAGGGGAGCTGATCACTTGATCTGTATGGTACTAATGACTTAATTCATTCCACACTCCTGCTGGCCCCCTCGCTGTTAGCTCGGGTTGCAGTGAAATACACACTAAGAAGACAGTATACACATACCAGGCCAGGGCTTTCCTTTGTCTCTCTAAAATACAATCTCATGTCTCTAAAATACGATCTCATACCTGTCAAAACTAGACTGTATTTCTTAAAATTATGTCAAGCACTTCATAAGAAGTACACACCATTAATCACACTCAAACACAGCTTATCTGTTGAAGGTGATGTGTCACTGCATCCTCCAAAAAGCAAACAACCAATCTTCTTTGTGACAAAAATCACTTATTATATTGTTAAGAAGGTTAATGCTCTAAGTTGTACCCCAGCTTTCTGAAAATAGAGCTTAACATTTCCTTTTCACTGTTGTTGATTGATTTTATCCAAGAACTGTCCTACTTTATTTAGCTTGACTAAAAGCAGAGGGCACACCCATGCTCTTACACAGCATGCAGACCATACCTTTAAAATTTTATTTTCCTTATTTATTTTAAAATATATTAAAATATGTCCTTGAAAAATAAGACGTTATTTGGCCTCCTTATCATTCTTTTCCGTTAACTGCCTCTCAGACACTCATTCCCCCACCTCTTTAGCACAAAAAGGCAGATCAGAGTATTGTACTCTCAGTACACTCTCAGGATTCTCTAGAACAACATCTCTGAAACAAACAACCCTTATGTCTACTACAACATTCCTGATGTTGCAGTTGCGATATCTGTGGGTAGGTTACTTTGCCCAACTCATCTCTCTTTGATGTTTGAGTTGGTCTGTCAAAAGACATCATCTTTAGACCCTAAAGTCTTAATATTAATTAGCCCAGAGGAACACAGGGAGCGGTAAACAGAGTATAACAGAAATGTGCATTTACCTCAGACTCAAGGTCAGTCGTTCATCTTTAGCCCTCAGCAGATCGCCCACTGAAAATGTGGCGCTACCCAGGAAGGTGCTCTGTAGAACCAGAGAGAAGAAAACAGCTGGTTAATAAAGGTAAACCATTTCAGTAGTAAGTAAAGTTGAAAAATAAAGTCTACTGAACAACTTTTCTTTTGACTGTACCATAGAGGTGTTAGAAAGGATAAGTGTCAGACATAATGTGTCTGAAATTACTTTGAGGCCAGTGAGATAAAAAAGCAAAAATGTGTGATCTAGTTGACATGAGTTGCAGGGGCACACAGTTCAAGCTACTCTCCCCTTCTGTTTCTTTCTCCCTTTCTCACTGCTCTGACAACCTGTGTTTGCTACAGGCATGATGTGTACAGCGGGTGTCAGCACACCAGAACTGGGTCATAGAGAGAGAGGTAGGGGACGAGCCCATCAATAACAAAGAGAGATGATCCACATTCATAGAAAACACACACACTCCCTCACAAGCATGTCTAGATACATGTCCACACGCATACAGTACAGGTAAGTCCTACACCTGTAAGTACCACTGTCATATGCTGCAGGAGGGGAGGGTTAAGACCAAAGTGAGGATCGATGTAAGTAATTAACAACAGGTACAGTAGTGATATGATATATTTCATCATAGAGGGGGAAAAAGATGTTCTGGTACCTGCACCCCGTTCACACAATCTTCTAAGCAGCTACAGTGTCATTGCTAGACCTTTCATCTACCAAATACGTGCTTTTTCTTATTTCTCGGACTTTACAATAGTTCTTCCAACACGAATGTGACAATTCTTGTCCTCTGTCTTACCCCAGTCTGTTCTTTTAGATATGCTTTACTTTATGCATTGCGAAGATGAAAAGATAATTTAATTAATGCAAATGAGTTTCGGGTATTGTAAGCAAACAACAGAAATCTTCCACACACTTTCCACACTTTTTAAATTTTTGCCTTATAGAGAACAGAGCACAACCAAAGTCAGACTGTGAAAATGAGATGCATCAGTCTAAAGCCAGATTTAGACGTGTGCGTCACTGCACTGTATGGGAACGTACTGCGTCAGTCCTCGTTCAGCTTATTTGCCTGTGTGATAGATCTCCATTGTTCTAAAACAATTAAAAACATTGGTGAAACACACCCCTCCACTGGGCAACATATTTCTATGTTAAAAAACACCAGACCTGAGTGTGAGGAGCTAGTAGAGTGTAAAGAAAGCAGAGATCTCACACAAGATCTCGCGCATGTGTAGCTGATTCTGACTAAACAAACAAGCTAATCCAGGACTGACAGCTGATAGACATTAACCATGAGTAGGAACAATTCATTGTCGGTTTTAGTCTCTGTATGGAGATTGCTCAGAATAAGTATCATGAGATACCCTGAGCCTAAATATCAGAAGAGACAGTGCATCCATATGTGAAATACTGTAAAAAGAATGTCAAAGGACATGCAACAGTATCAAAAAGCTGTGATTATATGGCAACTGTGTTAAATGGGTGTGACTGATGAGAGCAGGCACCCAAAATGCAGGTCACATGACTGTTACAATCTCTGTTATAAAGTCAGGCACAGCTCTCTGATTTTTTGCTTCTTTAAATTATATTTTGTCTCTGGCTGAAAATATTTTGCATTGCTCTTTTAAGCTTGTTGTAATAAGCTCTTTTTTTTCACGTTTTATTTTTTCATCAATTGTTTGGCTCTTTGGATACACTTTTACATCTAATCTTGCTTCCTCACTCTTCCTCCCAAAGCCTTTTCTCTCCCTTTTTTGATCTCTCCACAGTCTCCTGTATCAGATTAAAAAAAGGGCATCCTGTCTAGTGACCTTTTCTCTCAATGATTTTCTCCCTGAGCCTTTTCCTGCTACCCTGTACGATTCCACATACGCTTAAGGCAGAACACTGCCCCATACACAGTCTCTTGCCTCAGCCCACTCACAAGTAGACACATGCACGCATGCGTGGACACACAAAGAGAAAGAGGAAGGATCCAAACCACAAGGTCAGTCAACAGTACTATGAAAAAACAACAACATAACACTGAACTACAGTGAAAGATTTAAAATGCAGCTGAAATTTACTAAGACAAACAAACCTTAGCATCATATTCAGTTTTCTGGTTTCTGGTTTATGCAGCACAGTGCCAGATCCTTATGAATTAAACAGTCAGATTCCCCAGTCGGCACCACTTCATATGCACAGAGTCATATTCTTTAGCAGTGACGTATCATAGCCAATCCCAATTTGACCTTATAACCCAGAGCACAAAGCACAGAAGGCCATTACACACCGTGAAGGACCATTATATCCCTATGTAGCCATTACTCGCACGCTGGTACAGGATGTCTGGCAAATGGTCTTAGAAATCCATTTCTTAGCATCTTTTTATGGCCCCTCACGATAAAGGCTTTAAAAGTAATGAAGCTCCAGAGACCATCTTCTTACGCAAGATCAAAGTGGCTATACCACAGAAAATGAGAGAAAGATCGGGGCCAGAGGAGGAGTGGAGTGAGAAAAGAAGACAAATGATGCTCTTCCAGAATCACAGAGGATTGATTATGATGGTCTTGCTCTGCTCCCTTCTCACATACTCTGACTCTCTTATTTGTATCCATCTTTTCTGCCTCCTCTTGCTTATTTTATTGGCCATGCGAAACTTTTGATCTATGATCTACGTCACTAATTTAAAAAAAAAAGTTTTTACACAAGTTCAAGAGACAAAAATCCATACCTAACCCCAACACAAAAGTGTTCACAAAAAAAAAAAAAAACACCAATGCGCACAAGAGATCAGTCATGGGTGAAAAATGAAAGACACTTGTGCAGGAGCTGACATATTGCACATCTCCAAGCAATCCCAGGCACTTGTCTGTGAACCAGTGAACACCACAATGTCTGCCTATCACTTGGCAGAGGTAAATGGTTCAGCTCAAGCTGTATAGCTATTGATTTTCTTCATGCCCTGAGTGAGTGACAAACACACATAGAGACACACTAACTCTTTCTCAGTCATTGCCTCTCTACCTGTCTGTGCCTCTCTCTCACACACACACACTGCAGAGAATACCTGGAGGAGAGGACACTCATTCAGATGCTACGCCAACAACTGACATTCTATATAAATGGCAGAAATGACAGTTTTGGCACTCGCTGAATAATATGCATCTGGCAAACATTTATGAAAATGAATAGATTTCTATGAGGGAGGTCAGTAGTGTCTATATGAATGCGCTGTTCCTTCACTACAAATAGGGCTTTACAAATTGGCCTAATTAAGTCATTAGAGATGTCATGACATGCCATTTATAGTGACATACAAATGTGTGCACTCGGGCACAAATTATGGCCATGGTAATTTAAAAGTGACAAAGAGTGAGTGACTTCGCACACAACACACATACAGTTTATAGTGTACCACATGACATATACACATATGGAAGTCCAGTTAGACTTACGTTGCACACAATCCTAGCAGCAACAAGCAATTACGACTATAGAGAAGAGGCTGACAGAAACAGAGGCAAAGAGGAAAGAGATGTCTTCTTTCTTCTTGTTAATGAGTTCCAAGACGGTCTTCCTATCCATCTCCCTCCAGTCCTTGTTTAGAGTAAGTCCATGTACAGTACATGTTATATCCACCCTTTAGAGAGCAGCAGGCACACTGGCTGATACATACATTGTAAACACACAAACACACACTCCACACATTTAAACACACACACACACACTGCAGCCTCCGTTGTGACTGAAAACTGGCTAGAGTGAGCGACTGCTGTTGCTACTGTGGCTGGCTTGTCAGTTAGCAAGACCAGCTAGAGAGAGAGAGAGAAAGAGGGGGGGGGGGAGGAGGGAGTCACA